GCTGCTGCGAAGCCGGCTGCTGCTGCTTCTGCTGCTGCTGCTGCTGCTGCTGCTGCTGCTGCGAAGCCGGCTGCTGCGGGGGGCGCGGGTTGTGACGCGCGCAGGGCACTGGCCGCTGCCGGGGGCGCGGGCGGCAGCGCGGGGCGACTGGCTGGCGGCGCGGCGCGGGCCAGCCAGGCTGCGCCGGGGAGCAAGGCCACCTCTTCCTCGCGGGGCCCGCCGAGCTCCCGTGTAACGGAGGGTATAGAGGCCCCAGCCGGCAGACCCCTCCCCCCTGGGAGTGGCCGCTGTCTCTGACAGCCGGCCACCCCCGTGGGAGCCGACCCCGGCTACGGAGAAGTCTGCGGGCTCCCGACCACAGAGCACCGGCCGCGCGGGAAGACTCGCGGCCGCCTCCTGGAGGAGGAGGAGGAGGGGGAGGAGGAGGAGGAGGAGGAGGAGGAGGGAGGGAGGAGAGGAGGAGGAGGAGGAGGAGGAGGGAGGAGGAGGAGGAGGAGGAGGAGGAGGAGGAGCAGGAGGAGGAGGAGGAGGAGGAGGAGGAGGAGGAGGAGGAGGAATAGGAGGAGGAGGAAGAAGAAGAGGAGGAGATGGAGGAAGAAGAGGAGGAGGAAAAGTCCCCTCTCTTCTTTGCAGTCCTCCTGCCCCGATCGTCGCAGCCCTTGAGCACGCTGCCAGGCACAGTCGCCTCTCGCTGCAGACATGGGTGCGGAGCGCGCCGCTCTCGACGGACAGCTCCCAGCGAGGAGGGCTCACAACGAGAGCTCGCAGCCCTGGCCGCCATGGGCCGTCTGTGCCTCGGCGTCGCCTGCGGCTGCTGACGCGCAGTGGGTCACGGACCCACTGCGCTTCGGTAGCCGCAGGCGTCGCTGTGCACCTCTCCCTTGCTGACCCAGGGCCGGCACGGGGAACGCGCACAGGTGCACGGCGGAGCGCGCGAGCCGATGGGGCGAGGGCGCGGCCTTCAGAGGAGGCATATGGGGGCAACGTGGAAGGGCTCGGACGACGTTTGAGAAGCTTCCTCAGAGCCCTCCGTGTGCTCCAGCTCGGCTGCTGGAGCGCAGTGGGTCCGCAAGGGGGACGTGCAGAGGTGCACGGCGGAGCGCGCGAGGCAGTGGGGCGAGGGGGCGGCCTTCAGAGGAGGTGTGGGGGCCACGTGGAAGGGCTCGGACGACATTTGAGGAGCTTCCCCGGAGCCCTCCGTGCTCCAGCTCCGCTGCACCCTTGGGCACGCGGCTGCAGAGGGCCGCGGGGAGGCCGGGTCCGAGCGCGCACGCCAGTGCTGGAGGAGGAGGAGGAGGAGGAGGAGGAGGAGGAGGAGGAGGAGGAGGAGGAGGAGGAGGAGGAGGAGGAGGAGGAGGAGGAGGAGGAGAAGGGGGGGGGGACCCCCGTGGGACCGCGCAGACGGCCCTTCCGGCAAGGGGCCACCCTGGCGCGTGGCCGATCCACCGGTGCCTAGCACAGTAGGTGCCCGACCACGAGAAAATTTCCACAAGAGACCCAACCCTGATACAGTCGGGGCGTTAACCTAAGGAACCCTAAATAAGGAACGGGGCCCCTTTCTCCCAAAAGTTGAACTTCGATTTCCCATGGAAAACCTCAGGAAAACAGAAGGCAAACTGTAGAACAATCAAGGAACACCGAGTCCCTCCCCAACGAAAAGGGTTCCTTCTTCAGGGCCCCGACTGTACCCCAGGACGCCCACCGATTGTTGGTGTGGAAACGCCACGCTCTCCTTGGCAAAACCATCGAAACCCAAGAAACCAGGGGCACCCTGGACGCAAACAGTGTGTTTCTTGGCATGGGCCTCCACTGTACTCCTCAAGCTTCCACAAGAAACCCAACCCTGATACCCCAGGACGCCCACCGATTGTTGGTGTGGAAACGCCACGCTCTCCATGGCAAAACCATCGAACCCCAAGAAACCCGGGGCACCCTGGACGCAAACAGGGTGTTTCTTGGCATGGGCCTCTACTGTACTCCTCAAGCTTCCACAAGAGACCCAACCCTGATACCCCCAGGACGCCCACCGATTGTTGGTGTGGAAACGCCACGCTCTCCATGGCAAAACCGTCGAAACCCAAGAAACCAGGGGCACCCTGGACGCAAACAGGGTGTTTCTTGGCATGGGCCTCCACTGTACTCCTCAAGCTTCCACAAGAAACCCAACCCTGATACCCCCAGGACGCCCACCGATTGTTGGTGTGGAAACGCCACGCTCTCCATGGCAAAACCGTCGAAACCCAAGAAACTCAGGACAGCCTGGACGCAAACAGGGTGTTTCTTGGCATGGGCCCCCACTGTACTCCTCAAGCTTCCACAAGAGACCCAACCCTGATACCCCCAGGACGCCCACCGATTGTTGGTGTGGAAACGCCACGCTCTCCATGGCAGAACCATCGAAACCCAAGAAACCCGGGGCACCCTGGACGCAAACAGGGTGTTTCTTGGCATGGGCCCCCACTGTGCTCCTCAAGCGCACCGGTCCGGCACGGGGGAAACGCGCACGCAGGTGCGCGGCCGCTCACGGTGCGTGCGCACGCGGGCGACGCTCCAGGCCCGGCGCCTCCGAGGCCCAGACAATGTGTTTATCCTGTTGGCCAGCGAACCTTCCGACGAACCAGAACTGTGGACTCCATCGTATCGACGATCTCTCGAAAGGGGCGTCGAAGCTGATGGATCCCAGAGGGATGAGGTTCACAGCTCCCCGACTTGCGGCTGCTCTGCCTAACAACGGATGGGCCCCAAGCTTCCCCTAATCAAGCTGCTTGCCTCGCAAATAGTCCTCGGCTTTGCATTGCCTTGTGCTTGCGCTACTTGTCATCGCACTGCGCTGCTTTAAACGATTAATTGCCATGTGTACCTGTGAACGGCACTCCCATGCGTTGCATTGCATTGAACCTCTGTTTCGCAGAACACTGAATTCTGAATTCCATTGCGTCGCGTTGCAAATCCACCATCGTGCGGCGAAACACTGACTCGACTGCTCTGAAGGGCCGTGTGATCCCCGATGCTGACTCTTGCGCGTGATCTGGAGCCCGCACCCCGAACGCTCTGGATTCCTGGGCGCTCTCCAGCCTTTCTGGGCGCTCCTGGGGTGTGGCGCACGACTGCTCCCGAGGCGTCGGAAGCGTGCTTCGTGGTCTCGTGGTCTTGGGGCCCCGCACTGGAGCTCCCTCGAGCTTCTGTGGGGCTGTCGCCCCGAGGCGGCCTCCGAGAGGCCTCCAAGACGGCGACAGGGCCTGCCCTCCAAGCACGCCGCAGCCAGACCGCCGGAGCCGTTCCTTTACGGTCGAGCCTCCAAGACGCGCCTAGGGCTAGAATCAAAATGATGCTGATGACGATGACGACGATGACGACGATGACGATGAGGATGATGATGATTATGCTGATGCTGATGATGGTGCTGATGATGATGATGATGCTGATGCTGATGATGGTGCTGATGATGATGATGATGATGATGATGATGAGGATGATGAGGATGATGATGATGATGATGAGGAGGAGGAGGATGATGATGATTATGCTGATGCTGATGATGGTGCTGATGATGATGATGATGATGCTGATGCTGATGATGGTGCTGATGATGATGATGATGATGATGATGATGATGATGATGATGATGATGATGATGATGATGATGATGATGATGATGATGATAGGAGGAGGGAGGAGCGGGAGGAGGAGTGAGGGCGCGGGGCGCTGCCTCTGCAAAACGAGGGCCCGGCGCCACGGCATGGTTGGGAAAAACAGCTTCGCAAACGTAAACTCTGCGGAGCTCCGCGCGGATGCCTCGGATCGGCGCTGGGCTCCCCCTCCCTGGCGCGCGGGGCGTGCTGGGGGCGGCGCCGGAGGCGACGCCAAGGGGCTCCAGATGAAGGGGCCCTGGGACACACAAAAACATACACACACACACAAATAGCAGGATGCCCCGTATTTTCCCATATTTTCAAAGCTTCTGTCTTCCCCCCCCACTTCCCATGTTTTCCCATATTGTCTGGGGAATCGACGACTCATTGTGTCTGTGTGTGTTTTTTCTCCCTCCTGTGCTCGTATGCACATTCTGTTCTTCGAAAAGGACTCCCGAGAGGCCCCCCCCCAAACACACCGTATGGTGGCCTGCGGAGAGCCCCCCGAGGCCTGCCTCCTGGGAGGCTGCGATGCGCCCGACCAGGTGCCTGCTGCGCCGCGCGGCCTTGCTTCCATGTGCTCCGAGGTGCCCCGAGACAACATTCACGTCGGTCCCTGGGCCAATCGGGCCCTCAGTGTCAAAACAGGGCTAGGATCGGGATGAATCGCTCCAGAGCGTTCCGGAGCGCTCTGAGAGCGTTCCGGAACGCTCTGGAGCGGCCGCGGCGCCCAATACATCCTCCAAACCCGCCGATTCTCAGAGATTTCGAGTTCTCCCGATCCGATTTTGTCCCGATCTTCGCGTCGTTTTCAAGACCACATTCACGTCGGCCCCTGGGCCAATGGGGCCATCAGTGTGGGCCCTGGAAACGACAGGGCCGGTTTTTTAACCGGTTCCGCTTTGCCGTTTTTGTTGATGGTTCCGACGCGTTTTTGTTGTTCTTGTACCGGTTCCGTCGCCGTTTTGTGACCGGCTCTGGCTGGCTCCGGTTCCGATCCTGGAGCCGTTTTTCTTTGCCGTTTCTGGTCGCCGTCTTTTTGCCGTGTCCATCTTCAAGGGGCATTTCTTTGGAAACGGTGAAAAAATCGGCCCTGCCGTTTTCCGGGGCCCGCAAAAGGTCGGGCCACCTGCTGGCACACCGATGGCTTATTTGGCGCAGCTGCTGTGCACTCATAGTGCCCATGCCGCCTGCTGCAGGGAATCGCTCCTCATGGGGGCCCAAAGAATATACACCACCACCACGTCGATTCCTCCTCTCTCCTGTTTCCAGCGAGAGGGAGGGGGGGAGGGAGGTGGTGGTGGTGTATATTTCTGGGCCCCCCACCTCATGGCAGTGCGTTCAGGTTCGTTCCCATTCGTTCCTGTGACTTCTTGCTTTCTCATTTCGATTGTGATGCGCATCAGGCGGTGCAACAGTGCAGTACCATGCAGTGCGCCGCTCTGCACGGAACGCCAACGCATTCCAATGTATCGCCTGACAGGAGAAGAACACGCGGCGCAACGCAAGGCACCGCATCGCAAAACAAACATTGCAAGGCCATTGCTCTGCAATGCAGCACCGTTTAGCTTATCCGTAGGTGCAGTTCTCTCAGAGCAGTGGGTCGCGCCGCGGGGGAATCCGAGAAACACCAAGTCCGACTCCAAACCAGAAGCGCATGACGCCGCGGCTGCGAGTACTTCGGTAACAGATCCCAAAAGGAACTTCCACCCTGAACTATCTGGGGTGTCGTGCTCATCTCGGGGCCTCTGTGCACCCCCGTGCCCCCTTAGGGCATGCCCTTGCGCCTGCCTCCCACCCGCCGGCCCGCCCTCCTGGCAGCCTGCCCCTTCGGTGAAGGCCCGCTCGCGCTCAAATAAGGCCCTGCCCGTGTGGCCTGCCTGGTAAGGTCCGCCGGCCCGCTGGTGAGGGCCCATCCGCCCATCCCGCCTCCACAAATGACCGCTCGCCCGCCCGCTTTTGTCCGCCAGTCGGTGCCAGTCGGGGTCCGCCCGCTCCGCCCGCCCGTCGGAGACCGCCCGACCAGTTCGAGTCCGCCCGCCTGTCGGCTCGGGTCCACCTGCCCTCAATCTGCCCGACCGTGCGTGGCCAGCGACGACAGTGCGAGCACATCTTATGGAGGCGAAAAAACGTTGATGATCATGTTGGTGGTGACGACGATGACTTTTCCCTGGCTGTACAATAACTTGAACTGACCCATATTGCAAGGCACCGATCGGATACCTCAGCGAGGACATTCAACTGGAACTAGATGGCAGCAGAAACCAGCTCCCACAGGAGGACGGAGGTCAGGGATAGATGTAGCATCGCCTGGTAAGTCATGGCCGATTCGCATCTCCCATACCGACGCACCTCTCAGACCGCGTAATGTCGTGTCGGTGATAAGCTCATGAGGCACGTCGGCCTGCCTGTACTTGACAAAAGGCTACCTCGATATCGGCTTGCCACGGCGGAGAATCTCAGCGCCCAGGTCGCCTTGCGCTCTCATCAAAACACGATATACTCCAACATGCCAGGCTGAGTACAATCTCTTTCCTTGGCCTGCGGGCAGCCGTGGTAAGCGGGGTCCGCAGATGGGCAAATTGACCCATCGGGGCAGCAAGAATCGCCCGCGCACTTAGTGTCTCCAGTTCCTGGGCACGACACACTGTCTCCGACCGAACAGGTCACTGGCGGAGGAGGCGACGGCGGCGACGGAGGGCCCGGCGGTGGTGGGCTTGGTGAAGGGCTCGTCGGGCAGTAGAAGATCATCTCGTAGGCCGTCCCAGCAGGGCAGGTCATCAGGCCGACGCCGTCGTCGTAGGAATAGCCGTAGACTCCAGGACACATCTGATGCACAGTCTTCACGTAAGCTGTGTCTTTCACAGGCCCAGTGCGGCAAGCTTCTGGAGACTCTGGAGGCGTGGGGCAACAGTAGTCCTTACAGAGCGCGTCTTGAGGTTGATGATCCTTCGCTATGGCATTGTTCCAGCTCTGGAACGTCAGCTTGCTGCATGGGGCGTAGCAGCCAACGACTTCACCAGTATTTGGATGAACAGCCTTCAGGGACACTGTGCCCGCCTGGCCCAACTTCTCGGCGTCGGGGCACATGTCTGTGGAGATGTGGGCGCAGTTGATTGTCTGTGTCACGTTGGTCTTCTGCACAACTCGAGCCTTGCAATCGCCCTTGATGACCAGTCTGAAGGGCACGGTAAAGCCATCCACCATGCTGATATCAAGCCAATCGCATCCCGTATACTCCCCAGGCGGGTAGGTTGTGTTACACGGCTGTCCAGCCTCTCCAAAAGTGGCTTCAAACTTGCTGTCAATCGCAGGCGCGCAACCAATATGTTCGTCACAGGTCTCGTCCGGACCTCCGCTACCACCGATGGCACACTGGTCTCCAGCGCTGCTGCAGCGGAACTTCGGCCAATAGCGGGTGGCTTTCAAGTTGTCCGTAACAATCATGTCATGCGACATTCCAGGGTCCAACTTGATGTTCTGAGGGTCAGGTCCCACAGCCGCCCCCGCTTCGTGGGCTATCCACATCGGCTCAGTCTCACAAGCGCTTGTGATCCGTAGCCTCGTTGGTTGGTCATCTGCGTTCCCAACCCAAATGACTGAGGCCAATGCCAGGAGCTTGAGCGCCATGTTTATTTCTCTGCTGCAGCGACGGTTGACTAAGAGAACCTAATACCAATGGCCAAACGCAAGTTCTGTGCCCAAGTGGCTAGCAACGGCAATCTGAAAGGATCGTAATGATGAGGATGCCATGATGGTGATACTACGCAATGATGGTGACGGTGCCAATGCTGCCTTTCTCCTCCGAATCATCCTGCCGCTGCTGGTGCTGCTCCTCCTACTCCTTCTGCTTCTCCTCGTCCTCCTCCTTCTCCTCCTCCTTCTCTTCGTCCTCTGGTTGCCCTTCGGTGTCCACCAGTCTCCTTCTGGTGGGAGCTCGGGACATGGGACAAGCCGCTGTCAAGGAGAGGCCAGGTGTGCTTCTCAGCCAAGTGCATATAGGCGTTCTATCTCCCTTATAGGAGTGCAAATAAGGCTCGAGTGTCTCCTACCGGGGCGAGTGGGGGCCAGGCAACCCCAGGTCATCAAACTTCGCGCTTCGGGCTGCGCGACGCGCGTCTACCTTCTCACTCTTGCGCCCACGCCTGGGAACGATACCTCTCCAGCCCAGACCGCGATCCTACTCGCGCACCTGTGGGGGACCTTGGTGCTCCGATAGTCAGGGGCCATAGCTCCGACGTCGTTTCTCAACCCGTGGACGCCAGAACTCTCGTCGCTTTCCCCGGGACCACTTGTCTCACCCAGGATAACATCTTTTGGATGGCCCCACTGCTCACAAACGGCCCCCGGAAGCAGAATTCGACGAACAACGCCAGGGTTCCAGTAGCCCGCTGGAGCTCTGGGCAGCCGCGGGTGTGGCGAGTCAAAGGGGGGCGAGGGGAAGAGGAAGGGGGGGGAGGAGGGAGGAGGATCTGAGGGAAGGAGGAGGGGAAAAGGGAGGGGGGACGGGGAGCAGGGGGGATGGCCGGGTGGAGGAGGTGCCCTCGCCCGTGGAGCACGCGAGCTGCCGCCGAGTGGAGGCTGCGCGTGCACCGCTCTTTCTTTGTTGGTGCTATCGTCCTCGAGCTCCCATGTCCTCCACGTCCTGATCATCCTCGGTCCCCCTCTCTGACAAGTGGGAGGAGTACTAAGACAAGGCCTGCGGCGAGGCACGCCTTGTCGAGGCCAGTGCCACGAACAGAGGCGAGCTAGACGGAGTCGAGACCATCCAGCAACAGATCTTCGAGGACGGACAGGTCCAGATCTTCGAGGAGCCGCAGGCCAAAAAGCCTTGCAATGCCCTCGATGATAGGCATGCCATGAGCCAGAAGAGCCAGCAGGAGTTGGACTCGGCCATCGGCCAGGCACACCTTGTCGATGCCAGCAAGAAGAACGCTGCTCTCGACCCTCGGCACCGCTGCGACCAAGTATAACCAACATAGCCAGAGCTCGAACATCACCCGTGAATTAGGTCGATGCCATCGGCATCTTCGACAACATGCTTGTCCGAGCAAAAAGGTGGCAACCACAACAATGAATTTGAAGACGACCTGGCATACCAAGACGAAGATTTCCCTTCAGTGCCGCCGTTTCCCACGCTCGGGCGCTCGGCGGGGCAATGGGCACCGGGGTGGCTTGGCCGTGCCCCAGGGATCCGAAGCCCTGGGCTATCTTGGGTCGATCTTGAAGGCTTCTTGAGCCGTTGTGCGCCTCGTGACAGCCCAAAAGGCGAATTTGCTAAACATATACGTTCTCTGAGGGAGTGGGACGGTTTTTGCTTCTGGAGGGTCTCTTGGGACGCCTCTGGGCGGCATGTCGGGACGCCTCTGGGTGCCTGCCTGCGTTTGTCGGGGGAGCTGGAGAGGCGCAGAGCACGGCGGCCGCGAGGGTGGCTGGGGTGGGGGGTGCGCCTGCTGCACTCGGTCTACCCCTGGATGTGTGCGGCTGTGTGCAGGAGGTGTGCGTCGGCGCGCACGTGTCCGAAGCCCGTGAGCACTGCCCCCTCGCCGTTCCCGCTGGCCTGCTTTCGTCGTGCTGCTGCGCGCGTGGCCGCGGCGCCAACAATGTGCGTGCGCGCGCGCGCGCGTGTGTGTGTGTGTGTGTGTGTGTGTGTGTGTGTGTGTGTGTGTGTGTGTGTGTGTATGTGCGCGCGTGTGTGTGTGTGTGTGTGTGTGTGTGTGTGTGTATGTGTGTGTATGTGTGTGTGTCTGTGTGTGTGTGTGTGTCTGTGTGTGTCTGTGTGTGTGCTTTGTTGTTTCCCCTCCTTTACGCCCCTCCCCCCTTTGTGGGCGCGTTATCTCGGATGGAGGGGCAGGGAGCTCTTCGAGCTGGTTGTGGGAAGGGAGACGGCAAGCGGTGCCCGCTCCCATCCTCCCGAGCGTGCCCCTCCAGACCTCAGCCCAACCGCCAATCGTCTGAATGTCCTTTATCCTCCCTGCTCCTCCGCATCATCCGCTCATCTTCTCCTCCTTGGTCCGCACTCCTCCTCTGCCCATCTCCTCCTACTTCTCCTGCTTCCTACGTCGTTTCCCCCCTCCCTTCCTCATGCTTACCACCCTCTTCCCCTTCTCCTGCTACCCAGGTATCAGCATTCCCTTTATCCTCCTGCTCTTCCAACTCCTCCTTCTCTTCCTCACCATCTCTCCATCACCTCTCCCACGTCCCCCTGCTCCATCATCTTTTGTGCTTCACCACCTCCTCCTCATCCTCATCCCGTTTTAGTCGTCCTCCCCCTTTTCCACCATCATCCTCCTCCCCTCCTCCCTCGCTCCCTTTTCTTCCTCAATACCCCCCTTCTCCCTGCTTCCTCCTCTTCCTCGTCCCACGTCGTATGGCGACACCGTCCTGGCCACAACCACGCAACCTCCTTCTCCTCCTCCTCCTCCTTCTCCTCCTCCTCTTCCCGCCACCCACCGCTCGCGGGGGAGAGGGATCGCGGGATGGAGAGGGGGAGCGAGGAGGAGGGGAGTGCGGGAAGGGGTAGGAGTGGAGAGGGGACGCATCTCTTCTGCAAGGAGGGATGAGAGTGGAGTGCACGCAAGAAACACCACACAACATGCAATGCACACTCCCATTCCAGCGCCCACATAACGGAAGCACGGCCATTAGAACGTGAGTCATCTGCCGACACTCACATGTTTACATAAAAAAATGTATAACTATATATATATATACACATGTGTATACATACATACGTTTGCGCCCCTTGTCACGTGATTTATGTACATGGTCTCTGGCCGGACTTTGTTATTATAATAAGAGCCCACACGCGAGGGCTGAAAGTGACCCTCGCGTCAGCTGTGTCACCGTCCATCCTTCTTCACGAAGGAAACCGCACCCTTGAAAGACGAGCCCGAAGCGGGGGAACTCGAACTCACACTTCGCGCCCTCCGCCCCAAGATGACCCCCAGACACCGCCAGCAGGGCCCCTGAGAGGCCCCCCAGACACCTCAGCAGGCCCGTACGGAGGCCCAAGTCAGGCCCCCAAAGGCCACCGCTGGGCCGTCTCGGGCGACACTCAGGCTGTCTTCGGGCCCCCTTCGGCCGTCTTGATGCCCTTCGAGAGAGATTTCAGGACGATGTTCGACACATCCTTTTAAACCTGCGATGTTGATGATTGGTCATCTGTTTAAGGAGGCCCCTAGCGGAATCACCATTTCGGCGGTCTCGAAGGCGCTCTTGGACCGCTTGGACCGTGCATTATCTGGATGTCGTGTTCTTCCTGTTTGGACCGCCCGCTTTCCAGAAACATATGTTTTCCCCGTGTGGGCCGCTCGCTTTCCGAATGTCGCGTTTTCCTAGCGTCGACAATCCATCTGGGCTCAGAGCTGCCACAAAGTGTGCACAAACTATTTGCTGTCACCGCTTGGACCGCTCGCTCTTCAGAATCATGCGTGTTCCCCGTTTGGACCGTCCGCTGTCCGAATGTACTGTTTTCCCTGTTTGAACCGCCCGCTTTCCAGAACCATCCCCCCTCTTGGAACCGGGCAACTCTCGGGCCGTCTTCGGGTCCTCTTGAGCCCTCGCGGGGCCCTCTTGGCAGGCTCGTTGGCAATCTTGGAACGATCTCGGCGACATCTTAAGCCCTCTTACCCTGTCGGAAGCGTCAAACTGCGAGAACGCTCAAACCACTAAAGAGGATCGCTGATGTGTCCCTTGAGGCCATCTCGGGGATCCTTCTGGAGCCTTCTTGGGACTTCTTGGAGCATCGTGAACCGTTTCGAGGTTCTCCTGGATCGTCGCTAACCACTCTTGGATTGTCTCGGTGTCTCTTGGACCCTCTGGAGCCATCGTGGAAATAATCTTGAACCGTCTTGGGCCCTCTTGGAAACCAGTTTGGGGCCATTTTGAGCCACCTTGGGGCCCTCTTGCCGTACAGTTGACCTGTATGGGGCCTGCGATACCAAGACGATGCCAACAACATGTTACGTAATTAAGATCTCTAGCGAAGTCATCGTTGTGGGCAAGACCAAGACCACGACGCAGTCGGCAGCATCTAATTGTTGAGAGTGTGCACCTCTGGGCAAGAGCGATGCCGACAAGACCTCATGTGTGGATTTCCCCAGCGAGATCGACATGTTGGGCAGAACCAAAACAACGACGGCGTCGACAACATCTCATTGTTGTGAGGATGCCCCATAGCGACCTCGCCATTTGAGCAAGAACGGTATCGACCTCATCTCATCTGTGTGAGGAAGTCCCTAGCGAACTCGCCATTGCGGGCGAACGTAAGGCGTGGCAGAACCATCTTGTTGGGCTATGTTTGGCCGTATTCCGGCCTACTAGGAAAGACCCCAAACCATTTCAACTCTCTTGAGGATGTCTCCGACGGGGTATCATGTTTGGCTACCAGACCTGCTTGGTACGAGGACGGGGTCACCACAACTTACTTTGTGTTGGCGCGAGACCGCTGGCCTGTCCGTACTTCTGGTACCTCTTGCGTCCTCTCTTCCCCTCGCCCTTGTCGCATCCTTGGGGAGTATGGGGTCCCTCTTGGGATCCGGGGAGACCCTCGGGCTGTCTTCGGGCCATCTCATTTCGTCTTGACGCGAATGCCTGCTTCGATCCGCATGACCATCTAGGCGATGTGACTGCTTGCATCGGCATGGCCATTTGAACCCGCCTGGCCGCGCTGAGATCCTTGGACGGTTTAAACCACCTGGAAATTCAAACCCGCCTGACCGTTTCAATCCGCGTGGCCGATTTCACTCGCCTTGCCGTTTTACATCGCTTGGCCGTTGCCGCTCGTCTGGCCGTTCGAACCCGCCTGGTCGATTGAAGCCGCCTGACCATTTTAACTCGACTGGCCGCTTTAACCCGCTTGGCCAGTTCACCCCGCCTGGCCGCGCTGGAATCCATGGCCGTTGTAACCCGCCAAACATTCGTAACCCGCCAAGCCGTGTTAACCCGCCTTGCCGTTATAACTCGCCAAGCCGTTGTAACTCGCCTGGCCGTTTGAACCCGCTTGGGCGGTTTAACCCGTCTGGCCGTTTCAGCCCACCTGGCCGTTTTAAATCACTCTGGCCCGCCTAACCGTTGTAAGCTGCTTGGTCGTTTGAAACCGCCTGACCATTTTAATCCGCCTGGCCGTTTTAACCTTCTGTTTCAATCCGTGGCGAAGAGGAGGAGGAGGAGGAGGAGGAGGAGGAGGAGGAGGAGGAGGAGGAGGAGGAGGAGGAGGAGGAGGAGGGAGGAGGAGGAGGAGGAGGAGGAGGAGGAGGAGGAGGAGGAGGAGGAGGAGGAGGAGGAGGAGGAGGAGGAGGAGGAGGAGGAGTCTTAGGGCCCTCGTGGGCACCCTTCAGAGACGTTCGGGCCGTCTGCGGGCCTTCTTGAGCTGTCTCGGAATCCGTCTGGGAGCCTCGTGGGCAGTATTGGCGTGATGTCAAAAACGACGTCGACAGCATCTCGCTGTTGTGAAGATGTCCATCGCGAAACCGCCATTTTGGGCAAGAGTGATGTCGAGAACATCTCGTTTGTGCGAGGACGTCCCGAGTGAAATGGTCATATCAGGCACGACCGAGACCACACGACGACGTCGGCAACATTGCATGCTTGCGAGAACGTTCATAGCCACAGCGCCATTCTGGGCAAGAGCGATGTCTACAACACTTGTTGTTTGTGAAGGTGACCCTAGCGAGACATTTTTTGGGGCGAAGTAGGGCGTCTCAGAGCCATAGTGTTGGGATCTGTTCGGCCACGAGGCCTTCCGAGAGCGATTTCAAAAAACCTCAGAGTTTGAGGATGTCCCTAGCGAGCTCCTGTTTTTCGCTCCTAGATGCAAGGATGCAAGGCCTGCCAACCTCCACACGCCCCTCCTAATTTCATTTCTCCCGGCTAACGGATCGTATTTCATGCGCGCTTTCCACCATCCCTGGGGCCCAACCTGCCCATGCCCGCAAACTTCCCGGCTAATGGATCGCGTGCTAACCGCGCTCTTCGTCATCTGCCGCCCCCTGGATTTTTTCAGTCGTTGAAGCCCTTCCAGCAAAGTTCCAATGGTTTCCAGCCGATTCCGTTGGCCACAGCCAAAAAAAATACTCCGTGGGTCGTTCTGCCCAATATGGCTCCAATGAGGCTCCCCGATGGCCAACCAAGATGGCCTCTAAGACGGCCAAGATGGCACCAAGACGGCTCAAGATTGCCCCGAGATGGCCCACGAGGCTCCCGAGAATCCTCCAATTTGGCCCAAGAGGCTTTCAAGAGGATCCGCAGGAGGGCCCGCAGATGACACAACTTATGACACCCCCGTACAGTTGGAAGGATGTTTGTATTCGCTCCTTTTCGGGCTTCCAAGAGGGCTCACAAACTGGCCAGGAGACCTCCAAGACGCCCAGGATGGCCTCCAAGACGCCCCCAAGACATCCCACATGGCACCAATACTGCCCGAGATTGCCCCATGCCGGCCTCAGAAGACCTCCAAGAGGCTCCCAAGTCGGCCCGAAAGGCCTCCAAGAGGCCCAAGAGGCCCCGAGAGAGCCCGAAGAGGCCTCCTCTTCCACCTGCTGCTCCTTCTCCTTCCTCTCCTCCTTCTCCTCCTTGTCCTTCATCTGCTTCTCCTCCATCTCCTCCTCCTCCTCGCTCCTTCTCTCCCTCTCTCGCTCTCTCTCTCTTCCAACACTAATATTTCTCCATCTCTTTCTTCTGTGTATATATATATATATATTCAAATGCATTTCTCTCTCTCTCTCTACCATTTTTTTTTTTTCTCTCTCTCTCTCTCTCTCTCTCCGATGTGCTCCTCCAAGAGTTGCCACAGAGGGAGGAGAACATGGTCCAATCTCTGGGCCAATCTTTCAATCTTTGGCCCACCGCTTGGCCACGCAGGCGCTTCCAGAAGGCAATGGGAGGTTGTGGTTCGCCGCAAACGCCTTCTACAATGCCGATGACATCTCATGTGCTAACCACGTTCGCATTACTGGCCATCGCTCGGACGTCCATTCCCTGTGCTTTCTTCGGTTTCGTGCGTGGTTTTTTCGCCAAATGATCAAGGATGCTTCTCGATGGTCCTCGCCGAAGGAAAAATGCACACGTCCGAGCGATGCCAAGCATCCGTGAAGCTGTTGGTGACACTCAAACAGAATAGGCGCGGCGCCAACGCGGATCGCAGTTTATCGGCAGTCGCAGTTCGGCGGTGTAGCTGGAAGCTGGTAGAACGACTGCGCGCGGCGCCGAGGCGGCACCAACAACTTGAACACCATGAGGCTCTTGGGCAATGCTGAAGACGCATGCGCGCGGCGCTAAGGCGAGCGCAATCTCTAGCGGAGGCGAGTCGCCCACCGTCCATTGGACCGCTCGGAACTTTTAGAGCAATGCCCGCGGCACTACGGCAAACACCACGTGTGGAAGACGATCCGACCTCCATCCGTGCAGCGGGTCCAACCAGCAAACTTAAAACTCGTACGTGGTGTGGGGATCTCATGTGGACCGCCCGGACCGCCTTCCCGACGCGCCTGGTGGTGCGACGAGGACGTCATTTATGAGGGGGGACAGCGGAGAATCCTCTATTCCTCGGCATGTGGGGGGGAGCGAACGAGGAAGATAATAAGGAGGGATGAGGAGGTATGAAGAGAGACGAGGGGAAGGTATGAAGTAGGAGGAGGACGAGGAGGACGAACGAGCAGGAGGGAGGAGAGGGGGAAAGGGAGTGAGATTGTCCTCTCTTCCCCCTTTCCAGTCAGGGCAGCAGCCGTGGTCTCAGGGCCTGGGGGGCCGCCTCCGGCAAGCGCGCCAGCGATCGGGCCGCCGCAGGGGCCGGCCGCCGCAAAGGACCTGCTCGGGCGGACGGAATGAGGGGGGAGGGAGGGAGGGAGGGTGGGAAGGGCGGGAGGGAGGGCGGGAGGAGGGAGGGAGGGAGCGAGGAGGAGGAGGAGGAGGAGGAGGGGAAGGATTAGATAAATGAGTATGGCCATGTGACAAAGTCAGTGTGCCATGCTGGAGAAAACCAGCATCGTTCTGCTACGCTACTGAACCTACCCTCGCGCAAAGCAACATCAACAAGAAACATTTGGCACCTTGCTTAGTGGACAGGCCTGCATGTAGCTCCCGGGCTTCTTGCGTGAACTCCTCGCTCAAACCTTCGCTCATTCATTCGACAATTACACCTGCTTGCGACTGGACGCTTGCTGGTGTTCGGGGCATTTGGCTGGAACCCACGCGCGACGCGGTTTGACCACTCAGCTCGGGATGTCGTAGGTCGACTCTGGCAAACCCAACCTAACATCAGAAGAAAAATCAACCGGCGCAACCGCAACCGCAACCGCAACCGCCTTGGAACTGCAGGGGGGAGAGGGATGAGGAGGGGGTTGATGAGCAGGGAGAAACAGCGCATGGGGTATGATATTGAACGAAGGAGGGGGATGTGAGGCAGGAGGAGGCAACGAAATGAAGGAGAGGATCATGGTGAGGCAGATGGGGGGTGGGGAGGAAGGAAGGAGAAAGAGGAGGAGGGGGAGATATAACGCGAATGATGTTGATGATGAGGAGGTAGAGGAGGAGAAGGCGGAACGTAGCTGGGGGGCAACAAGTCTCCTCTGCCACGCTCGCCCTCCCTCCCGCGCGCCTGCAGCACGCTGCTGTGCAGCATCTGCGGGCTGAGGAGGGCCTTTTGCCTCCCACTGGTGGGAAGGCGGACCGGAAGATGGATTGCCTCGACCAGCGCCAGGGCTTTGCCGACGTCGCTGCCGACAAACCGATGAGACGCTAATCTATGGGCTATATTTACCAGCCTGGAACATATCCCTGTCCCCATGCTGGGCATCGTCTCATCACGATGCCGATCTTAGGGATTCCTTTAGTTTCTGAGGGCGCATCCCTAAGATTGTCGTCGCCTTTTGGCGTGCCAGTCTTAGGGATAGGGCTAAGTTCGAGGCTGGAGCTATATCTGATGCGCGCAGACGGCCGGAGAGCCGCACCGGCCAGGACGGAGCCTGCAAGCGCCAAGGAGCGGGGGCCAGCGGCCCAGAGCGGCCAGCCACTCGAGCCGGCGGCAAGACCCGAAGCGATGGTCCACAAGGGTCAGGGCCATCTTCGCAGACTCGCGCGCACTTCGCTTCCGGCTGCCTACGACAGTTCGCGGGCCACGATCCGAGCCAAGCTCTGACCAACATCTGACGCCAAACGACAGAGAGGGAACCCAGCAGTGCTCGAAGCCACGCCCATCCGCCCTTCGCTTTGGAGGGATGGGGTTCCTCTTGCCAGCTCAACAGACTACGTTCCATGGCCCGAAAGATGGAATTCCTGAAACCTTGTTTTTTTGAATCGAGGCGGCGAATTCCCTGTGATTTGTTTGCCTGCGTTCCTGTGATCCCTGGCCAGAGAGCCGAAGAGCCTCCCGCCCCCCACTCGCCAACGACCGCCCCCCCCCCACTCCTCCTTGGCACCAAAAGGAGCCCGCGGCAGCATTCGACAACAGGGCGGCAAGCGCACCAATTTGCCAGCGCGGTGGACTGAAAAGGGGTGGGGTGGGGTGGGCGCCAGGTTGAGCGTCGCGAGTGGGCTTCTCGGCTCGGCCAATCGCCGCGGACGCTTTACAAGGGGTGGACGCTCTCTGGGAGGTGACGGGGGCGCGCGGCGCATCCTAGCGGCAGCGTGCGCGGCAACCAGGGATGAAATTCTGGGCCCGCCAGCAGACTCCAAGCTGAGCCACTTGGAGAGCCCTAGGCCCAATCCGAGGGGGGGCGCAGGCTCGGAAGGGGGGGCGGAGGCGAAGGGTGAAATCGGCCTCGTGCCTGCAGCGGGGCGCGCACTTTCCCCCCAGCTGCGGGTGCAGTGGCAGGCCGCGCCGGGCGACGGAGCACCAGTGCGCGCCCAGGGCCGGGCTCCGCTCCTGCGGCGTCCGGGCGAAGGTTTGCCCCTCGTCGCCGCCGGGGCCAGGAAGGAGAACGCCGGCGAGACAGCGGCCGCGGTTCAAGGGCGGCCAGGGGGGCCGCGCGCGGCGTTGAGAAGCGCGCCTGTGTGCAGCAGAGCCGCACAGCAGCTGGGCGCTCCGCGGCCGCGTGATCACGCTGACGTGCAGCATCGCGCTCGTGGGCATTCCGGCGCTGAAGACCCGAGCGAAGGTCGCGATCTTGCCCACCATTCGCCAGAGCCCTGGCCGTCCGCCACGTGCAAGTACTTTGATGTCCAGGAGTGGCGCGCCGGCAAAGTTTGAGCAAACCTGAGATCCCCTCGCCATGCAGCTCGGGCGACGGTGCGTGCAGTCATGGATTTTCGAACGGGGCGCCCCGCTATTTGCCAACATCGGGTAGCGAGCCAGGGCGTCGCAACAGGCGCCTGGGTTGCATTTGCCAGACAGCGCTGCTCATGCTCGGTGACAGCGCGCTCGGACAGGGGGCCTATGCAAATGGCCTTCAACATGGGGCGATACCTCGGCGTGGGCTTGCTGTCGGACATGGTGAGCACAATCGGATCGCAGTCGTTGACCTCGCGCTGGAAAAACTCTTCAGGTTCCCCGCGGGCAGTCATGGGCTGAGGTGCAACGAACGCTCGGTCAACGCGATTCGCAGACTGGGTGCCTTGATGCCAACTCGCATGTCGATCAATCTCCATCTCCATCATGCCTTTCCAGAACTGATGCCAGGTCGCATCGCCAGGTCTTGGGTGCCCGAGTTATCTGGGGTAACTCGGGTCTGGGGTAACTGGGGTTTGGATTCCCGAAAATCGAAACCGAGTTAGCCCTGGCCGAGTTACCCCTGATGATCTGGAGCTCTGGACGCCCGAATTATCTAGGGTAGCTCCGGCCCAAGGTAACTCGGGTTTGGATTCCCGGAAAACGAACCCGAGTTAGCCCTGGCCCGAGTTGCCCCTGATGACTCGGGGCTCTGAATCATGCCTTCCCAGAACTGCTGCCAGATCGTATCGCCAGGTCTGCCCGCGCGCGAGCGGCGCGATGCCTGGGCGGAATCGGCAGCCGGGGGGGCCGGCGTCGGGGGCAGAGGCGCCAGCTCGAGATGCGCATGCCGAAGATCTTGCGCGATCAGAGCACGGCGTCGTCTAACTGATCCCCATCCCCATCCCCACGCCCATCCCCTTCGAGACCCCCACCACATTGCCGCCCCAGTTGGGGGTGCACCCCTCGACGCCCGAAGGGAAGGACCTATATCCCCATCTAGGGGGGTAAGTCGGCCAGTGGGGCCCAGGCCGCGCTGCTGGGGGTGGGGAAAGATTAAACAATACTCAAGAACGCTTGGGTTGGCGGGGAAGACCCGGGACAGCCGCGGAGCGGTCGGCTTGCGTGTCGAAGATGCTGAAGTCACCGATCGGCACGCGAGAACGCCGCGGCGGCCCCTGGCAAGCCTTGGCTTGTCGTGCGCGGGCCACGCTCCGGAGGTGCCGAAGGTCAGTCAGAGGAGTGTCATGATGATGGGTGTCCTGATGGGAGAGGGCAGCGCCAGACTCGCGGCGGCAGCGAGCCCGCGCCAAAACTCGGCCCGGCTGGGCGCCTCCCCGACGCGCCGGCTGTCCAGCTCGAGCGCGAGGTGCGCGGGGAAGAGAACCGCAGCGCCGGCGCCGGCGCCGGCGCCAGGGGGATCCGAACAGAGGGGCCACGAGTTATATCCAGGGCGCTGGGCGCTTCAAAACTTCGGAGACGGCTGCTGGATCTCTTCGGTCCTCCTGGAGAGCGATGATGGCGGAGTCGGAGTTCGGAGAGTGGGGGGCCCCTAGCTTCTCCTGGCGATGCCACTGGAGGCGTGGTGGCAGAGGGAGAAGCAATTACAGGAGACGAAGCGCACCTCGGCACCTCCCATGAACCCATCGCGCGCCACTGCGATGGCGCTGGAAGAGGTTTTCGACGACGGCATCGAGGCTGGACTTGTCCAGATGCGCGTCGGCGAGCTGGACGGCGTTGTTCCGGCGGGTCCGCGGGGGCTTGACGGCGTCCACTTCGATGGCGACCAACGCTTCCCACTGGTGGCCAACGATACCTGCGCCCCTACCACCAAAGACTGTTGCGCGAGGTGCTCAGACAAAGCATTCGAAACACGTCGGACTGCCCTTTCCCGAGCCTGGGTGCGCCGAGCCTTGTTGGCGGGCGAACAGCTGGGCCGAGCGACCGATGGAAAGAGCCACTGAGAAGCGACGCCACGTGCCACGGTCATCTAGGAGAGCAGCCAAGGCCTGCTTGATGCGACTGTCGAGAGTAGCGCCCATGCCACCGTTGAATCTCGGGTCGGGCGAAAGGGGGGGATAGCAAAGGGGGGTTTTGAGAATCAGCTCACGTAGCTGATTTTCCCGGCACCTCCCGGCGCCGGAGGCGGCTATGTATCGAGGAATGGGCCCCTCGGTGGGGCCGAAACCAGCTGCATGCAGCAAATTTCGTACCCCCCCTTTCCCAATCCCCCCCTTTCGTCCGGCCCGAGAATCGGGGGACAATGCGACGGGCGATGCCATCGACTTCCAATTCGCACTGCTCACCAATAGTACACCCATCATCGGGAAGCAACGGGGCGCCCGCTTCGCGCGCTAGGGGGTTAGGGATATCCTCTTTGGCGCTGATGGAAAAAATGGCGCGATTCATCTCGCGACTCAACGGTGCAGAGCGTTCCGCAGGGGCACGGGGGCGAGCGCGAGCCATGCCCAGCTGCTTCTCAAGGTGGGGAAGGCGGACGGCCACGTCGGCCAGCCAAGAGCTCTGCTCATTGATCCGATGATGGATGGCTGGGAACTTTCGGTACATCTCAGCAGAGCGACGAGCAACAGACTCTTGCATGCGGCCGGCCAGCGGGGTACTAGCCGACTCCGCTGCGGGGCCGAGGTGTTTGTGCCGAGAACACGAGGAAGAGCTGACGCCGTCGACTCTTGGATAGCTTTCCGAGACGCATTTTGTGCTTCTTTGGGCCAGGAGTCGCGCGCCCAAGAGATTTCGAGCTGACCAGCTTGCTAGGCCGACGAAGCCGCGCGGGAAGCCGCGCCAAAGGCCGGTGACATGATGATGCTCAGCAGCAGCAGCATCGGGTCGGGCGAAAGGGGGGGATAGCAAAGGGGGGGTTGAGAATCAGCTCACGTAGCTGATTTTCCCGGCGCCTCCCCGCGCCAGAGGCGGCTATGTATCGAGGAATGGGCCCCTCGGTGGGGCCGAAACCAGCTGCATGCAGCAAATTTCGTACCCCCCCTTTCCCAATCCCCCCCTTTCGTCCGGCCCGACAGCAGCAGCAGCAGCAAGAGGTGGCGGCCAAGAGAAAGAGGCTGGGCGCCGTGGGCGCGACCTCCGGGGGTCGGCGGCGGCGGGGGCGAGGTGGGTGCGGCCAGGAAGGCTTCCTGCCTGGCTCGAGGACGGCCCCTCCTGCGCACCAGCCGCGGCGTCGATGCTCGATCCTCGATCCTCGACCCTCGATCCTTAACCCTCGATCCTCGACCCTCGACCCTCGATCCTTGAACCTCGATCCTCGATCCTCGATCCTCGACCCTCGACCCTCGATCCTCGACCCTCGATCCTCGACCCTCGACCCTCGATCCTCGAGATCCTCGCGTGCTCCTTGGCCTCTGTCCAGGGGTGGCCGACTCTGCACCGCCGCGCTGCCTGCTTCCCCCGTGAGGGGCGAGGCGTGGCGGGGGGCGTGGATGCAGGGGAGATCGCGGACATGCGTTCGTCACTGGCAACGCGATCAGCACGGCGGCGACGACGCCGAGGGGCCTCCATCTACGAGTCCCTGCGTCGAGGATTCTCCATCTGCGAATCACTGCGCTCCAACTTCTTGTTTCTCGTGGGTGCCTTGTCCTTCTTGTCTCCAGCCATGCCGCGAATGTGAGCGCTGGCCCCCCGCAAGAACTGGAAACGTCTCAATTTACTTACGAGGGCCGACGCAGGTGTCGAGTTGGCTGGGAGAGCGCCGTGGGCTAGCCTCGGATCAGAGGTGTCCTCTCTCTGCCCGAGGGACAAAACCATTTTGAGCCAAAATGGACACGGATGAGGAGGAGGGGAAGGGGGAGAAGGAATGATAACCAGGCGGAGCAGGTGGAGCGAAAAGAAGACGGAGGAGGGAGATGGGAAACGGAAGAGGAGTAAGGACGTACACGTACGTAAACCTACGGATTGAACCCTGAAGTCGCCTAGGGGGGCGCTTCTCGATTTCCAGGGTACGTGTGTCAAAACTGGCTTAGCTGTAGGACCCCGTGGCGGGCTCGCTACCCAAGTGTTGTTTGCCATCTCGTTTTTGTTCTGTCCCTGAGGGCTGCTTTGGGCGGAGCTTTCTGGGGTGGAGTGACACTGCGACGTCCGATCCGACTCAAGGAATCCGCCGACCCCTTGGGGTCACAGCGTGTGAGATGCTTCCCCCCCCCAAACCTCTCCCCCGGGGGCCTGGTCGGGCCGGTTTGGAGGGGTGGGTGGTGGGGGGCAAATCCATCATCCGCACACTTGGAGCCTCAGGAGGCCCCAAAACGGGCCAAAAAGGTCCCAAAGGTTCCCGGAACGGTCCAAGAGAGCTACGAATCGACGAAAAATCGCCCCCAAACGCAAAAGATTGCCTCCACACGGCTCCATGAGTCCCCATTGCGTTTGAAATAATATTACGAGGCGGCCCAAAGAGGCCCTCCAGAAGCAAACATCGTCCCATTTCCTACGGAAGAATGTGCATTTTCACACCGCATTCGGCCATTCGGCTTCCACGCGGCGCAAAACCCCCAAGAAGCCTTCAAGATCGATCCTCGCCAGGCCAAGAGGCTCCCAAAAAGACTCCAAGACGGCGTCCGGGCGATCCACGAAGGCCCCAGGAACCATAGCAACGGCTTAGGAAAGCCGTAGGACGGTCCCAAGAGAGCTCCAAAACGGGGCAAGAGGGCCCCCAAAAGCTGTCCGGACGGCCCACGCGGGGGGACGATTCGGTCCAAACCGCCCAAGATCACCGCCAGACGGCCCCATGGGTGTCCAAGACGCTTGATAACGCGACCACGAGGCGCTGCAAGAAGGCTTCCGAAAGCAAAAACCGTCCCATCTCATGGGGAAACGTACATGTTCAGCACATTGGCTTCTTGGGCTTTCACGAGGCCCACAACGGCCCAAGAAGCCTCCAAGATCGACCTCTGGCACCCCAAGACACTTTCCAAAAGGCTCCACGACGGCCCCCGGGCGCCCCACGAAGGCCCCAGAAACCTTAGCAACGGCCCGGAGGAACGGCAGGACGGTCCTACGAGGGCTCCACAACGTGTCTGGAGGGGCCTCGCAGGCTGTCCGGGCAGGCCACGCGGGGGACGATTGCTGCCGCCCCAAGGGGTCGGCGGTGTGGCATAAGCCAATGAATCATGAGTGGCAGGAGGAGGGCCAGCAGCAAGGGAAGGACAAACGGGAGGGATTCGGGGAAGCACGGAGGGAGGAAGGCGAGCCTGCGAAGCGCCGGGCGCACGGCTTCGCATAGAGCGCCCTCGGCGGGGCGCGCGTCACGACAAAGACGGCCATTGCGCCGCGATGGACGGTGCGCGGGTGCCGCTGCAGGCGTCCATGGTCCAAGGTTCCCCCGTGCAGAGAGGCAAAACGCAATACACCCTGCGAGATGCTTAAGAAATCATGGGTTAAGAAATTCATAGTCTCAGAAATTGAATAAAAACCCAGAACTTCTATCAAAATCTTGGGATTCACATTGGAAAGTTAAGAATAATCGAGACTCTGGCCGAAAATTCAAGTTTTCTTAAGCATCGCCTAAGGTGTACCCAACACATTTTGGAGCTTCTCGCGGATTTCTTGGATCGGCACCGGACCCCTCGCAGCGCGCCAGGGGCGGCGCCCGAGGCACCGCCGGCGGGTTCCAGCGCGGATCCAGGTCTGCGCAGACCTCCGACAGCCCATGCTTGTGCTTGTTTTCTTTCGGCCAGCAAGGAAAAGGTTCCCCGAGGCTTCTGCCAATTTTCGAACATGTTCCTCGGACTTGTGTGAGGCTGCCAGCGGCTGTCACGTCTTTTCTTACCTGGGGAGCGCATTCGTTGTTTTGTAGCTGCTTGGTGGCATCCGGGGGACGCCCCTCGTCGCCACGGCTGGATCCGCCTCGAAATCCTTGTTAGAACGGGCAGGTGGATCGGAAGGGAGGAAGCGGAGGTGGATGAGAAGTCAAGGGGGCCGTCTCCCCAGAGAGGAAGAAGAGAACAAGAAGGAGCAGGAGGGGTAACATCGATATGACAGCGGTGCTGTGGTGGGGGGAAGGAGGGACAAGGATGGGACGCGGGAGATACCCGTACCCACTCACCATCGCTCGGACGTCCATTTTTTGTGTGTTTGTGTCGGTTTCGTGCGTGGTTTTTTCTTGAGGGATGAAAAAAAACGACCCTACCCTGGGTTACAAGTGCGTGGTCTGTAAACCTCCTGGGAACCCCCAAAGCCTAGAGCCGCCAGGACGCGGCACATCACGCAGGGCTTACCCTGTCAGCCCACGGGAGTTTCAGCGCACAGCGCCTCGTAAACCAGGGTAGGGGCGTTTGTTACGCCCTTGATTTTCGCCAAACGATCAAGGGATGCTCCTCGATGGTCCTCGCCGAGGAGAAAGCGCACACGTCCGAGCGATGCCGAGGCCCAGGGCCCGGGGGCTCCGAACGGAGCCGCTTCGGGATGGGAGTGGCCCCTGCCCGGCCCCCCCCCCCTCCCTCCTGCCGCTCCTCGCCATCGCCCTCGTCCTGGTCCTCGTCCTCGTCCTCGTCCTCCTCCTCGCCCTCGTCCTGGTCCTCGTCCTCGTCCTCCTCCTCCTCCTCGTCCTCGTCCTGGTCCTCGTCCTGGTCCTGGTCCTGGTCCTCGTCCTCCTCCTCCTGGCGCGCACTCCGCGTCCCCGAATCTGAGCATGACGCGGTGGGACAGCACATGCGAAACACACAAATCCTCTGCTCCCAGCCCCTTGTCGAAGACGTCTGGCCAAAACTTCAGACCTGGGGGAAGGCGGCCGTCCATGAGTCCCTCCTCCTCCTCCTCCTCCTCCTCCTCCTCCCTCCACCTCTTCTTCGTCTCTGTCCGTCTCCTGCGTCCCCTTTCTACCTTTCATCTACGTCCTCTCCTCCATCATCTCGTGCACCTCCTGCAATTCTTCTTCCTCCTCATCTTGCTCCTCTTGGCATGTTTACGGCACATGTCAGGACGGGAATACCCCCAGCAACACCCGGCTTGCCGTGACCGACGGGAACCGTTCAGAGCCAGAGTGGCTGAAGAGGAGGAGGAGTAAGAGAAGAACCGGCACGAAAGGGAAGGATGGTCAGGGGGAAGGAGAAGGACGGGGAGGAGGAGGACGAGACCAATGAGGAAATGGACGATGATGATCAATCCTCTGTGTCTCCTTTGGATGGCATTGTGATTGGGGAGAGCGTATTTCACGGGCGCTGCGCTCCGCAAGGTCTCCCCCCCGTCTTTGCTGGAACTGGGGCCCCTCCCCTCCATTGCCACGTAAGTCGGGGGGAGGGGGGGAGGGGCGAACACCATCTCCATGCGCGCAGGCAAGCGACGACGAACACGATGACGACGACGCTGACAACGCCAACGACGACGCTGACGTTAACGACCATGTTGGTGTCGATGGCAAGGCTGACGACGGCACCTTCGTTACGACGAGCGTGAGCTAGCCAACGATGCTGGTCTGACGCACGCTCCGTCATAATAACTTAGCCCCCGCGCCAAATCTGTTGGCGCAGGCTAGGACCGACGGGCAGCCGCTGTTTGTTGGCAGTAGCTCGGCATTTACGCCATCGACTTCCCCATGAGACAAAAAACGACTTTGGGAGCAAGTCAAGAGCGTCGCTCGAATTTTGAAACGAGAACGCCAAATTCGGATCGCGAAATTTGGCATGTGCTGTCTCTACCGTCATTTTACCCAGGTTGTGGGAAGGCAGAAGTGTAGAAAAGAGGGTTGATGCAAAATGAGCGTAGCCCCAAAACAGCAGGAGGACTGAGGACACGCGTATTTTTAGATATACGCAACGGAGGTGGGTCAACACACATAGGAGTCTCGCGGACGTTGTGACTGTGGGGTAGTCTATCACCCTTTCTCGCCCTCCCTTTCTCGGCTACGGGATGCCTGAACCAGAATGTTGCTACCCGCGTACGGATGGCTCCATTCCAAGAAACCTCCACCAAACCGCATGGAATGTCGAAGTCGATTGAAAACCACAGGGTTGGAGGAGACATGCACGACGTGGGCGGCATGCTAAACGCGCCCGCGCGCTGGAGAAGGCACGTGTAGAATGAAGAGTCGGACATTCTGGCCCCGATCGCCAAGCAACTTGCTAGATGTGGACAGGGAGTAATCTGGTCCACTGTACAGATCCTCGCTATCTGTCGCACCATGAGTGGAATCATTCCGACCTGGTGCCTTTCATGTGATCCTTGCGGGCTCTTCTTGCCTCCCAGGCATCCTTCCTGATCTTTGCCACGGTCGCCGCGGGCCAGACGATCGTCTGCGGCAGTGGCGCGCACATTGGCGCCGACGGAGCGGAGATGCGCATCGAATTGCCCCAACAACTTGCACCTGCCAGCCTTGCCCCATCCCTCCGAGTCGCAACGTTCGCCCTGCACTCGCGCCGCCTCCACGTGCGGCCGCAACTTCGGGAGGACGTTCGCCGGCGAACGATCGTTCGAGGGCGCCGCGTCCCAGCCACGCATCCCGCGCAAGTGGGGGTCAGGCTCTCGCTTGAAGAACGTACCGAATGACGACGCGCACTCGGAGAACACCGAGCCCGTGATGTAATTGAACGTAGTCTACGGCAACAGCCCGAAGACGTCGGTATACTGAGCCAAGTCGGTACCGTCAAACAGATGGACGATGGCAGAGGATATGGGATGTCTGATGAGGCGGAAGAGGAGGCGATTGCTAAATGTAATGGGGGAGCCAGGGGATAAGAAAGAGAAGGACATAGCGATGGCAGCACGGTGATAACGAGGCATGTGTTACCGCAAGGCCATTGTACGCCATCCTCGTCATCCCAACGCAACCAGGCAACAATACACCATCGTTTTCACCAACACGCGGCCTCACACCCGCGTGCCACCATCTCACCGCCCCAGGGCCAAGCACTTGTGCAATATCAACTTCATCACTGAACTGCCTCGCACTCGAATGCCATCATAATCGCCATCACATGGCCTCACACGTGTATATCACCATTTCCACCACTACAAGAACCAACACCTATAGATCGCAATCGTAACAACCAACCAGCCCGACGTACAACATTTGCGATCTTCCACCGCCTTACGCTGTGATCTCATCATGCACACCACCACCAGGCCTGATGTACATCATCAGATTCACCATTATGCGGCGTCACATGCTTCCCCATCGGATTATCACCAAGCGGCCTGGCAGACATCATCATCTACACCCAGGCGCAGCCTCACTCTGCACATGCTACGCGTACATTGCACTCAGTAGCCTGCACCACATGAAATGCGGCCAATCGATTGAAGCACATAGCATTCGCCACATAGGCTGGATCAATACATTATACATTTAGAACGTGCAATCCACTATAGCAGGGCGCAACAGAGAGTGCACATTGAGAGCGCAGGAGTTTACCACTTTCTGGGGCTCAAGGTGGCAAAGACATGTTCCACGAGTGTCCCGCATACAGTCTTGAAGGGCTCGGGGACCAAACTGAACTCTGACTCCTGTCTCCTCTTTCTTCTCCTCCTGCTCCTCCTGCTCCACTTCTACTCTCGGAGATCCGCGCAGACGCCTTAGATCTTCGCTGAACCCCCTCCCCGGCGCGCGGAATGCGCCAGACGCGGCGCTTGAGACGCCGCAAGGAAGGCCCAGCGCCAGCACAAGAAATCCGCGCGGAGCAACGTCAGCTTATGCTCATACATGTTGTCTTACTCGATGCTTCTCCTCCTCCCCTTCCTCCGCGTCCCCCTTCACCTCCTCCTCCTTCACCTCTATTCACCTCCTCTCGCCTGCTGAAGTGACGACGCCGACGGCATCGCCGCCCCAGCCCAGCGCGGCCCCACCGTGGCGCGTCACAGCCGTGACCTCTCGCCGCCCACCACCGCGACGTCGACCCGCCCCCAAGACGTGTTCAGAATACCCCGGAGGTTCCACACGGGCGACACCTGGACGGGGCGCCGATCGTCGTGATCTTCGGCGTCGTCGGGATCATCGTCGTCGTCAGGGTCGCCGTCGGAGTCGAGGTCGTCAATGTCATTCGAGGGAGGAGGGAGGAGGGGGAATGGGGGCGGGATGAGGGCGACTCGACGGGGTCGCCGTCGGAGTCGAGGTCGTCCTCGTCATTCGAGGGCGGAGGCAGAAGGGGGAGTGGGAGGGGGAGGAGGGCGACGCGGCGAGGGCAAACCCGACGGGGACGAGGGGAGGAGGGAGAATGGGACGGAGGCTGGCGGCCTCGCCCCTCGCCCGCTCCGCCCCCTCCTCCTTCTCTCGCCCCTCGCGCTGCCTGAGTGCCGCCTCCTTCGCGCCCCCGCTCCTCTCCCTCCTGCCCTGGGGGCCTTCCCAGATAGCTCCCGAAACCACGGCCCGAAGGGTTCCCTTCTCCAAGGGGGAGTGCCGCTTGGACCGCAGGTGCCTGACGACAGTGTCAAAGCAAACTCTGTTGGGAAAACCGCTGCGTTCTCCCGCGTGGCGGTCTAGCTGACGAAGCACAACACCTTTAAGCAAGGGCCTCAACGTACCTGGGGACAGCGACGCAAGTGAGTAGTCTCCAGGGAACGACATCCTGGCGTGCAGTGGGCTCGTTAAGGGTATGTCAAGGCTTTAGTGGTTTTGTAATGGTTTTCTGGTGGTTCCAGGCGCTGGTGGTCTAAAATCCATAAAGCCAGTTGCTGCTAAAACTAAAGCAAATCCCATGTGTCCTAACATTGGAAGCTTAAGCATTTAGAACCCCAGGGTCCAACAGTAAAGATACCATGCAGGTTACAGGGGAGCTAGCTACGCAACCAAGGCGAGCGTCGGAACTAGAGCTTGACACCGACTGGCGGGAGCGGCGGGAGGCAATACTAAAACCCACTGCCGCTCATTTATCCTCTCTGGCTGGGCACCCGCACAGCTGCCCGTAGCAGCTTGCGCGGGACGGCGTGGGGCCACAAGGGAGGCGAGGGTCGCGGAGCATGGCCAGGGGGAGACGGATAGATCCCATCAGGAGTGGCGGGATAGAGAGGCAGAGGAGAGCGGAAGAAAGAGGCAGACAGAGATGGACAGAGACGTAGAACGCAAGGCGTAATAGAACACGCCATCGTGGTCATCGCCATCGCCGTCGCAGATTCTGTCAATCTCGTTTCCGTCGTCGGCGACGGATACGGCGCCGACGCAGACGGCGAGGGCGGTGGCTATGACCACGATGACGGAGAACTCGGCAGTACGTATCTTCGTAGAGACGCGGGTGCCGATTCCGAAGAGAGTCGATCAATTCGGCGATAATGCGGATGCCAAATTGGCATCCGCGTTATCGCCGAGTTGATCGATTCGAAGAAATTCGGGTCTGCTTACTTACCTTGACGCCCTCCTCGTTCCTCGTCCTCCTCATGGTCTTCCTCTCCCCCCCAGTGCGTGCGTCCTACCTTTCCTCCTCGTCCTGCTCATCCTCTCCACAGTTTCCCCTCCCCCCTCCCCCGTATCCTTTCTCATGTCATCCACGATCCCCCCTCCTTTACGCACTTCCCGTGCGTCCCCAGTGCCCTCCGCATCAATGATGCGGAGGGCACTGGGGACGCACTCGAAGCGGCTAAACTATGTGCACGAGCGCCATCCTACCCAGCTGCATCACCGACATCACCATGAAACCCCCACTCTGTCACTACCAATCGGAACCCCAATAAATCCTCATGATCCCCATCGCCATCACTGCTCCCCGTTCACTTCCCTCTTCCTTCGCAGGGTCACTATCATCACCGCTCGTTTTACGTTATCCGAGTCCCCCCCCAACCCCCTCATCTTCATCTCCATCCCCCCTTCCCGCGGTGTCGCCGCGAAGCGGTATTGCTACCATCGTCGTCATCGCTTTCGTTTTCATCCCCATCATCTTCATCATCACGATCCTCGCCCGAATCGTCACCCAGGCCGTCGTTGTCGTTGAGTTCGCGATCGTCGCCAGGGGCCCTCCTCACCCCGTAGCCCGCATAAGCTTACTCCTCCCCGTTCCCTCTCCCCATCCGCCTCCATCCCCTGTAATCCTTTCATGCCCCATCACGCGGCGTCCTTCCTCACCCGTTCGTCATCCTCAGCATGCCATTGTGTATCCTATGCATCGCCCGTATGTTTAACAATGCCCTCCTCCTCCTCCTCCCACCCCTATCGTTCACTCTCCTCCGTGTGTGCGGCCACTGCACTTTGACACGCTGCGTGCTGGGCGCCAGCCGAGTCTGCTCCAGCTGGCAGCAGGCCTGTCCACGCAGGCCGTAGCGATGCTCTCGCCCCCAGCGACAGCATGCGTCAGCACGGTCGGCGGGCTGGAGTAGCCGTCTACTCCCCGACCTTCCCGATGTAGTCAACCACGGGACCCTTGAACGAGGCCCAGATCTTCGAGTCGCCGCACGTGGCGAAGGTGTGCTCCAGGTCCCGCTTGATGAACTCCCACTCCTGCTTCTTGCCATCGTCGTTCACAGCGATGGCCTTCGGGAAGATCGGGAACACGATCATCGATGCTGTCGGGCTCTCGTCGGCGGAGCCCTTGCCGAGGAAACTCGTGACGAAGGGGACGACGCCGTGCGGCACGTAGAGCACCTCGTCTTTATTCAAGAAAGCTGCTGACGACTCCGTCCACGCGGTCTTGCAGCAATCATCCTCGTTGCTCTTGGCCCACTGCTGCAAGGCGCTGAGGGCCGTGAGGCCGCCGCGGAGAAGAGAGCCCGCTGCCGCGAGCTTGAGCAGCACAGTGGGGGTGCCCACGTTGACCACGAAGGACGGCAAGCCAGGGAACGGCCAGCTGTTCGAACTCCAGCTCCAGGAGTGGTTCTTCGTCAGCACCAGGAACGGCTTGCGACTCAACTCCATACACGCCTCGTCTGCCTCCAAGGGCCCGCCCTTGAACTCCACGCGGAAGTCAACCTCGTCCAGACACTTGCCCAGAGCGATCGACGTCATCGCAGCTTGGTTGGTCATCAATTTCTCGACCTTCTGCGTTTTTCTCACGATGATGTCCCAGTTGTTCGTGATGGCAGCTCCGAGCTTACTCATGGTTCCAGTGTTGAACTCCTGCAGCTTGACATGGAACGGATCCTCCATAGCCGAGTCCACGGAGTAGCTCTCGACGGAGCCCTTCGGGCGAGGAGGAGCAGGGAAGGGCAGCACTGAGAAAGTGGGCAGGTGGGGATGGATAAAGACGAGGAGGGGACGTAGGATGATCACGAGGGTGATAAGGAAGAAGAGGATGAGGAGGATTGTCTTAATGAAAACCTTATTCTCGTGCACCAGGCCGCCGAACTCCGCCGCGAGCGCCTGCGGCATCCCAGTGTTCTCGAACATGGTGACGTGTTTCTTCAGCTGGGTCGTCTGCTTCCGCTTGTCCTTGGCCTTGCCCTCCTGTTGCTGCCTTCTCACCTCCGCGATGCCAGCGGCGATCTCCTCTAGCGTACTGGCCTCCGTCTGGATCTCCTCCAGCTTCTTGATCAGATCGTCCCTGGCCTGGTTGGAGTCACTCGTCTGGCGCCACGCCTTGATGCCGTTCACGTCGTTGTCGAGCTCGCTGAACTTCTGGATGAAGTCACTCTTGGTCTCCTTGTACTTGTAAGTCGCCACGTCGCCGTCGTCCTTGACCTGGTCGTAGCCCTTGTCCAGCCTCTTGAAGCTGGCCTCGTTGCTGTAGGGGATCGCCCTGAGCGCCTGCTTGAACATCGAGGTCAACTCCCTCTTCATGGCAGCGAACGCGGCTGGGGCCATCCTCTTCTCGAACTCTGGCCACACTCGCTCCTTCTCCTCAGCCTCAGGCCCCAGCTCATCCTCAGCATCAGCCTCATCGTCCTCAAACTCGTCGGCGGCGCGAACTGACTTCGCAGCGACGCCCTGCCTCCCGTCGGACTTCTTGGCACTGCCAGGACCTGCGCTAGATCCACCGCGCGAGGAAGGGGCTCTGCCAGGCACCTTGCCAGCCGATCCGCTCTTGAGCGTGTGCGATGGCGGGGGCTGCAGCGACATCGGCGAATGCGAGCGCATCTTCTTCGCAAGCTTGAGGGTCGGAGCCTCCAAGTCAGACTCGTCGAAGTAGTTGGTGGCCGTGGCAGCGTCGTCATCGGATCCAGCCGCTGTCTGATGGGAGGCACGTTTCCCCTTCCCGCACCAGTTCAACTCCCCCGAAACCCACCGAGTATCTGAGATCTGAGGGAAACGGAGGCGGGGGGGAAGGGTACCGGAACCCTTCAGAGATCGTCAGTAGGGATGGGAGCTTTATGATGGGCGTTACGATTGCTAACAGTCAAGTTGGTTTTGTGAGGTATTCGGGAAATTAGCTAACGCTAGAAAAGGGCCATCAGCACTCCTCTAGTCTATTTGGCTGGCCTTATTTGGATGGCTGGCCGCCTATTTAGCAGTTAATTCAACATACATAGCGTAACAATGTGGACATGTAAGCACTAGTACCTCGCTGGTCCCCCCACTGTACCATGGGATCCTATTGTATTCATAGCGGGCGAACGGGAGAGTTGATCTGGCGTGGGAGGGTAGGGTGGATACACATTTAATTGAATGCGCTGCCATTGCCGACGATGGTGCAGACAACGCCGAGCTCCCACGAACCCGCATCGCCTTGTGGCCTCTGATGGTGCTGAAGATGTCGTCGGCCTTCGGGGTGAACGCCGCCTTCCGCTTCAGCGGGTCCCTGGCCTCCTGGGGGGTCAGCTTCGACTGCTTGACCGTGGCGTCCGAGTGGCTGATCTCCTCGAGACTCAAGGCAGTTCAATGTTCCTCCTGCCCGTCCCTCCCCTCCGTCCCGTGAGCATCCTCCATCTCCTCCTTTATTCCATCACCATAATCATCCGTATCCCCCCTTCTGCCTCCGCATGGTCGACCTCCTCCGCCTCCTGATTGACGTCATCTTGAGTATCCTCCCCCTCCCTTCCTCCGAGCCCTCCTTATCTAGTTCCGCATCATCCTCCTCCTCCGTTGTTCA